AAAATAGGTATTGTTCAAGAGATTAGGAAGAAAACTAAATCTTGCTAAAAGGCACCATAGACAATGAAGTAATATCATTACTAAACATATATGCACCAAGTGGTATAGCATCCGTATTCTTAGAGCAGAATATCAGGGAATTACATGAAGAAATAGACAGAAAATCCAAACCAGTGGGGGACCTCAACCTCCCCCTCTCTGAACTAGATAAATCTAACCACAAAATAAACAAGAAAGAAGTTAAGGAGGTGAATAGAATTTTACAAAACTTAGATATGGTAGACCTCTGGAGAAAATTGAATGGGGACAGAAAGGAATATATCTTTTTCTCAGCGGTACAAGGTGCCTAGACAAAAATTTGCCATGTACTAGGGTATAAAAACCTCACAAGTGCAGAAAGGCAGAAATATTAAATACATCGTTTTCACATCAGGATGCAATAAAAATTATATGTAACAAAGGGCCATGGAAAGATACACTAAAATTAATTATAAACTAAATAATCTAATCCTAAAGAATGAGTGGGTCAAATACAAGTCATAGAAACAATCAACAACTTCATCTAAGAGAATGACAATAATGAGACAATATACCAAAACTTATGGGATACAGTCAAAGTTGTTCTTAGGGGCAGTTTTTTATCTCCAAATGCTTCCATGAATAAAATAGAGAAAGAAGAGATCAATGAATTGGGCATGCAATTACAAAAGCTAGAAAAAGAATAATTAAAAAATCCCCAATTTAATACCCAATTAGAAATTCTGAAAACCAAAGGAGAGCTTCATAAAATTGAAATTAAGAAAACTATTGAAATAATAAATAAAACTAAGAGCTGGTTTTTATCAAAACCCCAATAAAATAGATATACCTTTGGTTAATTTAATTTAAAAAAAAAGAAGAAAACCAAACCAGTACCAAAAATGAAAAGGGGGAATTCACCACCAATGCAGAGGAAATTAAAACAATAATTAGGAATTATTTTGCCCAAATGTATGCCAATAAATTTGACAATCTTATTGAAAATTCCCCAGATTAACAGAAAAGGAAGTAAAATACTTAAATGACCCCACCTCAGAAAAAAAAAATTGAACAAGCCGTCAATGAACTCCCTAGGAAAAAAATCTCCAGGGCCAGATGGATTTACAAAAGAATTCTATGAAACATTTAAAGAAAAATTAATTCCAACACTATATAGACTATTTGGGAAAATAGGCAAAGAAGGAGTCCTATGAAATTCTTTTTATGATACAAATATGGCACTGATACCTAAACAAGGAAGAGTCAATACAGAGGAAGAAAATTGTAGACCAATTTCCCTAATGAATATAGATGCAAAAATTTTAAATAAAATATTAGCAAAAAGAATACAGCAACTTATCACAAGAACAATACACTATGACCAGGTAGGATTTATACCAGGAATGTAGGGCTGGTTGAATATTAGGAAAACGATCAGCATAATTGGTCATATCAACAACAAAACTAACAGGAACCACATAATTATTTCAAAAGATGCAGAAAAAAGCTTTTCACATAATATGACACCTATTCCTATTAAAAACATTAGAGAATAAATAGGATCTTCCTTAAAATGATATGTAGCATCTACCTAAAACCATCAGCAACTATTATATGTAATGGGGATAAGCTAGAAGAATTTTCAGTAAGATAGATGGTGAAACAAGAATGTCCATTATCACCACTGTTATTCAATATGATACTAGAAACGTTACCTTTAGCAATAAGAGAAGAAAAAGAAATTGAAGGTATTAAAATAGGCAAAGAATAAACAAAGCTATCACTTTTTGCAGACAATATGATATACTTAAAGAATCCTAGAGAATCAAGTAAAAAACTACTTGAAGTAATAAACATATTTAGCAAACTCGCAGGATATAAAATAAGCCCACATAAATCTATTACTAACAAAGCCCAACAGCAAGAAATAGAAAGAAAAATTCCATTTAAAGTTACTGTAGGTATGAAAAATATTTGGGAATCTACCTGCCAAAACAAACCCAGAAACTATATGAACACCTTATGAAATACTTTTCACACAAATAAAGTCAGACCTAAATAACTGGAAAAAAAAATCATCAGTTGCTCATGGGTAGGCTGAGCTAATATAATAAAAATGACAATTCTACCTAAATTAATTTACTTATTCAATACTATACTAATCAAACTACCAAAAGGTATTTCATAGAGTAGAAAAAAATGATAACAAAATTCATCTGGAAGAACAAAAGGTTCAGAATATCAAGGGAAGTAATGAAAAGAAATGCTAGGGAAGGTGGCCTAGCCATCTCAGATCTTAAATTGTATTATAAAGCAGCAATCATCAAAACTACTTGGTGCTGGCTAAGAAATGAAGTGGTGGATCAGTGGAATAGGTTAGCTATACAAGACACAATAGTCAATGACTATAGTAATCTGTTATTTGATAAATTCTAAGACCCCAATTTCTGGAATAAGAAATCACTATTTGAGAAAAAAAACTGTTGGGAAAACTGGAAAATAGCATGGTAGAAACTAGGCATAGACCAACATTTAACATTGTGTACCAAGATAAAAGAAAATAGGTACATGATTTAGATCTATAGGCTGATACTGTAAGCAAAGTGGGACAGCAAGGAATAGTTTATATGTCAGATCTATGGAAAGGGACAAATTTATGACCAAACAATAGACAGAGAACGTTATCAAATGCAAAATGGATAATTTTGATTACATTAAATTGAAAAGTTTTTGTGCAAACAAAGCCAATGCAACTAAGATTAGGAGGGGAGCAGAAAACTGGGAAAGAATTTTGGCAACCAGGTCTCTGATAAAGGCCTCATTTCTAAAATATATAGAGAACTCAGTCAAATTTATATGAATACAAAGTCATTTCCCAATTGATAAATGGTCAAAGCATATGAACAGGCTGTTTTCAGAGGAAGAAATTAAAACTATCTATAGTCACATGAAAAAATGCTCTAACACACTATTGATTAGAGAAATGTAAATCCAAATGATCATGAGGTACCACATCACACCTATTGGATTGGCTAAGTGACAAAACAGGAAAATGATAAATGTTGGAGAAGATGTGGGGAAATTGTAACACTAATGTATTGTTGGTGGAGTTGTGAACTGATCCAACTATTTTGGAGAGCAATTTGGAACTATGCCCAAAGGGCTATAAAATATATATACCCTTTGACCCAGCAATACCACTTCTAAGGTTGTATCCCAAAGAGATCATACAAATGGGAAAAGGACCCACATGTACAAAAATGTTTATAGCAGCACTTTTTGCGGTGGCAAAGAATTGGAAATTGAGGGGATGCCCATCAATTGGGGAATGGCTGAACAAATTGTGGTATATGAATGTGATGGGATACTACTGTGCTATAAGAAATGATGAACAGGCTGACTTCAGAAAAACCTGAAAGACATGTATGGACTGATGGTGAGTGAAGTGAGCTGAAGCAGGAGAACATTGTACACAGTAACAGCCACATTGTGCAGTGATTAACTTTGATAGACATAGCTCTTTTAAGCAATACAAGGATCTAAGCTATCTCCAAAAGACTCATGATAGAAAATGCTATCCACATCCAGAGAAAGAACTATGGAGTCTGATTGCAGACTGACACATATTATTTGCTGTTTTTATTTTCTTCTGTTTTGTTTTGTTTCTTTTTTCTCATGATTCCTCCTATTGGTTCTAATTCTTCTTTACAACATGACTAATACAAAATATGCATAATATGAATGCATATGTATAGCCTATATCAGATTGTATGCAGTCTTGGGGAGGGAGGAGGAAAGGGAGGGGGAGAAAATGTAAAACTCAAAAGCTTATGGAAGTGAATGTTGAAAACTAAAATGAATTAATTAAAAAATAAAGGCCATTGGTAATATGAGATGTGATATCAGCAGAGTCAGGGCAAGGATAGGTAAATATGAGAATCATCAGCATAGACATGCTATGTAAATCATAGGACCTGATAAGATAACCAAATGAAGTAGTAGAGAGAGTTAGAGACAGATCCCTATGGAACACCTATAGTAGACTGTGTGATCTGAAGAGGATCCAATAAGGGAGAAAGAGAAGGAGCGGTAAAAAAAAAAAAAGGAGAAAAGGGGAAAACTGCTTCCTAATCCCTGAGAGAAGAGAGCACACAGGAAGAGAGAGTGATCAGCAGTGCCAAAGGCTGCAGTGAAGACAATGAGAATGAGGAAGAGAAGTTAAATAAATAGTCTTAAACTCAGAATGTAGTAAACTGAAAGACAAAAACTGGAGTTCCCAAGAAGCAGAGATTGAAATGATTAACAAGTGATTTCAATAAGCTTAGAAGCATTTATGAGGCCCCTGCTAGAGTTCAGGCATTTGCAAGTCATGTCAGTTTAGAGACAAAAGTGGAAAAAAAAGTCCTCAAAGAAGTTACACTCTAACTAGCAAAAAGTACATTAAATTACAGACATGGTGACAAAATATGGTGTGGAGGAAGTCACTAACAGCTCAGGGGGAGCAAAAAAGACTTCATGTCAAATGAGTTGAAATTTTAATGAAACTTGGATTTCTGAGACATGAAAATGAATATAGAGCAAAGGGAAGGAACAGATCAAAATTATGGCTTCTGTTTGTCAGTGTATTTTAAGACAATATCCTCAGCTGAGAATGTGGAGAATGAGGTGATTTTAGAAGTTGGCAAATGCAAGGGAAGATTTTGAATAGCTGCTGTGGAAAGAAGAATCAGCAGTCACTTGGGAAGCAGTGTATGGATAGCTTTGCAGTAGTGTCTTGTACTGAGGGACCATCACATTCTTCGTAATAGAACATTCATCTCTTTAAATCACTTAAAAGAGGCAGAGCCAAGATGGTGTAGAGAAGCTCTGAAGTTGCCTGAGCTCTCCCCAGGTCCCCTAAGAAACAACATTAAATCAAGTCTGTAAATGGATTCTGGAGTGACAGAACCTACAAAAAGACAGAGTGAAAGAATTTTCCAGCTTCAGATAACTTGGAAGGACTTCAGGAAATGTCTGTCTCCATTGGTTTTGGGGCTGGGAGGCGAGGAGCTCAGCCCAGTGCAGAAGGTCTCTGAGCAAGCCAGCAGGAAGCACTTAGCTGCTGCACAGATCGGCGACCAAGGGCCCTTGGTCCTGGCTCAGCAGGCTGGCTGTGAAGCCTCCAGCCCCAGAGTAGAAGACCACTTACAAGCCTTGGAACACAGCCACAACCAACACGAGTAGAACGGGCTATGCCCCTTGCAGTGGGCAAACTGTAAGCACCCAAAGACCCATTGTGGAAATCTAGTGAACTGACTTCTCATCCCCAGCATGAGAAGCTCCTGTGTCCCAGGAGCAGAGATCAATTTTAAAAGTCATGAAATTGGTTGAAAATGAGCAAGAAACAGAAAAAAGCCCTGACCATAGAAAAATACTATAGTGATAGGGAAGATCAAAACACAAACTCAGAAGAGGACAACAATGTCAAAGGGGAATATGAATTAGTCTCAAGCCCAAAAAATTCTCTTGAAAGATCTCAAAAAGGATTTTAAAAACCAAATAGGAGAGGTAAAAGAAAAACTGGAAAAAGACTTAAGAGTTATGCAGGAGAATTATGTAAAAAAAAAGGACAACAGCTTTGAAAAGGAAGCACAAAAATTAATTGTGCATGCTCTTTGATCCAGCAATACCACTACTAGTTTGGTTTAAGAAAGACATCATAAAAAAGGGAAAAAGGACCTACATGTATGAAAGTATTTAAAGTAGCTCTTTTTGTGGTGACAAAGAATTGGAAATTGAGGGGATGCCCATCAATTAGGAAATGGCTGAACAAGTTGTGGTGCATGATTGTGATGGAATACTATTCTGCTATAAGAAATTATGAGCAAGTAGCTTTCAGAGAAACCTGGAAAGACTTACTTGAACTGATGCTGAGTGAAGTGAGCAGAACCAGCAGAATTGTACACAGTGACAGCAACAATCTGTGATGATTAAGTGTGATAGACTTAGTTCTTCTCAGCAATACAATGATTCAAGACAATTCCCTCATGATAGAAAATGTTATCCACATCCAGAGAAAGAACTATGGAATCTGAATGCTGATTGAAGCACACTATTTCAATTTGTTTTTTCTTTCTTGTGGTTTTGCTGTTTTGTTCTGATTCTTCATTTACAACATGATGAATGTGGAAATATGTTTAACATGATTGTACATGTATAACTTATATAACATTGCACGCTGTCTTGGAGAGAATGGAGGGAAGGGAGGGAGAAAAACGTGGAACTCGAAATCTTACAAAAATGAATGTTGAAAACTATCTTTACATGTAATTGGAAAAAATACTATTAAGTTAAAAAAATGAATCACTTAAAAGTTCATTACAACTCTGAAATACTTCTTCTAATCGTGACCACACCTCAGTATTCTTATGTTGTTGATTAGAAAGGCAGAATGAAGAGTATGTTTATCACTATTAAGTTGTGTGTGACTTGATTCGATGCCATCCTTGAGCCTTTCAAGATTGTGTAGTGTCCTGAGTTTCTTATGGCATCTTTTATCAAACCCTTCTAGATCTGTGCCATCTGCTAATTTGATGAACTGCTATCTTGTCTTTCACCAAGTCCTTGGAAAAGATGATACTTGAGTCATTTCACTTGAAATGCCTGAATTTCTTCCCAGTGTATACAAAAAAATTCATCAGTAACAACCTTTTTTGACTTTTAGAAAAGGAAAATTCTAACAGTTAATACTTTCAAGATATACTTTACTCATGTGATTGCTGCAGTATCTTCTCCATTTGCAGAGTAGATGTGTGATCAGAATAAAGACAAAATGAAGAAATTCTAGCAGAAATAAAGAAATTAACCATGGATATTTAATTAGAGGAAGGACTGAGAAGGAGAACTTTGAGGAAAGAATAACCTAATATGCAAAATGGAAAAGAATTAAATGAGAGTTATGGAAATAGTTGTCAGAGACTTCCCATGTTCAGATCTTAGCAAAACTTCACGTATTGAATACATAAGACATACAGAAGGAACCAGAAATGTAGTGCATTTCACACACCTCAATTAGGAGATATCTTAGAAGAGAGACCTATGCCTTTATCACTGACTTTATTGTAATGATCTCCCAAGGACAATTCCTAAACCAGGTCCAATCACTATGTCCCCTTCTAAGGTTTCACAACCATCAGAGGCTTAAGAAATAGGAGGAAAGAAAGCCAAGTAAAAGGACTGGGCATAATGAGAATTGAAAAGATTGTATTGCATTCTGGGATCTAAACCTTCAAAAGGAGCAGTCTCATTACTGAGAGGAGGAATTATTTGCACAAATGTTTATCTCAAATATAGGCAACATTGCAATGATAGTAAATAGAAAAAATTCTTAATACCAGAGTCATTTTTCATTTGTTAATGGCATGCACACCAAGTTCTGATTGTACATTTGAGAGAAATTGTCCTATACTTTATATTTCTTAGACATAAAAGGATTGAAAACTCAGTGGAATTAATGAACCTTGTGAATGGTATTCTAAACGTGGCACTTGCGGTCATTGTAAACTTTATATTATTTGGTGTTTTAGATATATTTGAATGTTATACTTATAATGATAGAACTCCAGTATGGAGTGACTTAGATCAAGTGGTCCTAAAACTCATCAAAATTTGTAAGCAAAGATTTTGTCTTTTCCACTGATGTCAGGCAGATGAGGCTCAAAGCTTTGTATTGGGTGAAACCCTGGATTGACTGGAGTACTCTGAATTTATTCTCTTTTCTAGTGCCTAAGATAGTTAACATTAAACCCTTCCCCAAGTTTGTTGTATAAAGATGCAGAAACTCCCCCTACCCAAACCTCACCTAAACCTACCGTTGATAAGTGACCTTGAGAACTTCTTCATCACATATGGATCCAATAAGGAATTTTTCCTCCCATATATGGCACTGATAACAGGTTGTCAATCAAACCCAATGTTAGGGAATGTTGTTTGCCACTTGAACCCAAACTTTGAATGTATTTTCTCCCTGATGTGTCTTCCTCATGCTTTAACTGGGTGAGTTTTTATTATCTGTGGAGATGAATCTCTGTCCGTTTATAATGCCATACAGGGTGGGTATGGATAGTCCCCATTTCTCTGCTTGCTGCACTGCACATTAATAAAACCTTTACTTTATCAGCTTCCTGACACCAGGTTTCTAGAAATTTTCAAACCCAAGGCTTTATTTAAAACAAAGCTGTGAGGCTAAGTGAAACACAACTCTCCCAACAAACCAGTCAGTCAGAAATAGGGGTAAATATTTCATAAATCAGAAAACAAACCACTCACCTTGAATCTGCAGCGAACCAAATGGGAGTTTTGAAGAAAAACCTGTTCACATGATGCTGTATTTTCATAAACAAGGAGAAGAAGCCCCCGATCACTAGGTCACCTTCTTTTCTATAGGTGGGACTGTAAGCTCTTTTTATATGACAAGGACTCTTCTCCATGTGATACTCAGAAAGAGAAAGCTGCAAGAGCAGGAGCACAAATGACCTGGAGAACAAGTGCTTTAGTTTCCCCAGGCCTATGGCCAACATCCCAGATCTCTGAGGAGCCAAGGCACTGTAAGGTGACTGGGTGTTGTTGTTCATGCAACTGTAGGCACCTTCTCTGTTGCTAAAGATTTTTCTTTCCTAAAGATGCTCAAACTTTCAACAGTCCCCCTCACTTGGAAAAGTAGAATGTGAGATATATAGCAGGCCTCTCTTTAGAACAAAGGCAAAAGCTAGAAAGAGCCGGGCATATATATGGGGCACTTTTGCCTCCTGGATATTATTCTGTTTGTTCCCTATGGATGGGTTAGAAGAGGAGGGCTATCTTCATGCCTCTTGGGTGCAAATCAAACAAATAGGTTGACCAGAGTCTGAGATTAAGAGTGTCTCAGGACTGTCTTGCCCAGAAACTCTGCACCTGCTTCCTTTATCTTGGAAACTTCCAAAACTTAAGCATAAAAAATGATGTTTGTGAATCTCTTTCTCTATTTTCAGTCCCTGGAGCCTTCACAGCTTGCATGGGTTCTGAGATGTCCACAAGACCCTCTGACCTCTGCCAAGCTATGTTTCACAGACTTTCCAGAGAAGTACTTCCATTCTCCCCAAGCCAAATCCCTGCAGTGGCTCAAAATTACCAGATGTTGCATCAGTCAGAGGACAATGTGACATGACAGGGGTAGAAAGTGTGAATAATAATGACAAGGCCTGGGCCCCCAAGTACCCAGACTGAGATAAATTTAACATTGGTCTTGTCTTGACAACATTAACCACGGTGCTTTGGCCATTGGAAGTGCACCCTAAACCACTGCTGAATGAATGAATAATCATAATAATAATAGAATTCTCAATGATGTTTTTAGATTGATAAATCACATTCCTCACAAGACTGCCTGTTACCTCACTAGTGGGAACCATGGGCTCAGTAGGGCACTTTCCTCCCACAGGCAATTGAGAAAGATTGTAGAAGGTGAAAGTATGTCATTCCTGAGATGACTTGAAAGCCAGAGAGACAGAGTTTCTGAGTAATTAATAACCAATTTATTCATTAGGCTAGCAAGTAATCAATAAATTGAAGACCAATAGTCTTTCTCAGACCAAAGATGAAACCATGGAGATCACTGAATGCTTATATATCTTTGGAAAAAGGGATGCCCCTGACAGGTGAAAATCAACCCTGATTGGTCAATGGTCAATGAGGGGGAGACTTTTCAAATGAGGAGGTGGGCTAACAGCTCTCAGCCCCTCCTGCTGAGATTGTGGTTTGATCATGAGACTTAGCCACCTCCAGCAATCTGGACAATGGAATCCATCTCTACCCAGAAGACTCTGGATAGATTCTCACTCATGAGTTGAGTTGCCCTAAACTCCAATGTGGGGGGGGGGGGGATTCCAAGGGCATAATAAGCCTAATGCTTCATGGCTGGAATTCTCCTTGATTACATTCTGTTTACCCTCTAAACAGAAATGAGGTCTTCTTCATGAGTGGGGAAGATCTGGGACAATCTTATCAAACAGACAGAGGGGTGGGGTGGGCCATGAATAAAGAAATAAAAGAAAAAGAAAAAAACTGGATCCCAAAATCAATAATTGGTTATTATATTAATAACCATCAACATGGCATGCCCACATCATAGAAGGTGCTGTGCTCTATGAGCAAAGTAGAATTGAAATAGCTCAGAAGAAGTACAAGATGTCCAAATTTGGAGAATCCACCCCAAATGTTCACAAGGACTATTTGTGCCAGACCTGTGGTAGAATGTTCTGAGCTAATATTGGTCTGATCAGCCACAATCAGACACAGTGAAACTGGACTCTAGCATAAGGTGGACATTTTAGTCCTCTTTGAGAATGAAGGACAACAGCCAACCAAACAATATAATAGAGAAATAATCACGTTTCTCGTACCACAACTGTCATGCCTGAATTGGGGTCAAGTCAGACTCTGCATTCTCATCCTCACTAAGCCAACATCAGGGTTAAATAATTTTTCTATAATAAACATTCATCATGTCCTGATACTGTGCCAAGCATTATGCTGGCGTTAAAGACTAGACTGACGACACCCTAGTAAATCAAGAGTCTCCTCGCTGTGGGCTTTCCCTCCATAGATTATGCTCAGATGCCCATCCTGGGGGACTCTTGTTTCTGTCTTCCCATCAGTTTCCCACTGGGCACCTCCCTTCATCCTGCAGCTTTCCTCTCATTTCTCCCAGCATCACAAATGTACCAATGGAGCAAATTTCACTTCATCAGTCATCACTACTCCTATCATATGCTTGTGGCACCTTGTTTAACCCATACATTTAATAAATGATGATCTTTTGTCTGATTTGTCTTATTGAGGCCTTTATTATAACATACTCACATCTGGAAACACCTATTTAAAAAGAAGATACTTTAAATCATCTTACCCTTTTCATTAAGCAGTTGGAGTTTACCTCTTAATGTGACATCAACCCAATGCTGTGAATCTATGTGAATGAACTAGTTAGCACCAGTTTCATTGGGAGCCTAAGATTAGCTACAGGTCAATTGGAACATGACATAGCGTTGTATCCCCAGTGCCTATCACAGTGCTTTGCACATAATAAGTGATTCATAAATTCTGGTTGACTGATTCTTCCAAAAGCATGAGTCCAAATATGGACCTATGCATGAAATATTGTCCTCTGCCTTATTTTTAAGGCATTTGGGCTAATATTTTTTTTTTAATTTCTAATGAAATAAAGTATTCTTTTAAAATATAAAAGTCATTCTGAACTGATCATCTGTATAAAAAACAGGTAGCAAATTTTGCCCCAGGTCTCAGTTTAACAAACTCTGGACCAGAACAATGTGACAGTGCATGGAATATAAGACTCATGTGGCACATGAGGAAGAAAATGTGGAACATGTGGAACACAAAAAATGTGGGAACAGCCTTTATATGAGGAATGGGTACAGCAAAATGGGAAAAATAGGAGGAATTACAGCCTGGAGTCCCACAACAGTCCTTCACCTGAATATCTGGGAAATGCAACAAACCTTTTTCTAATCAACAGATCCTGAGCAGATCAGAGTCAAGCCCTTTTTCAGCCCAGCTGGGCAGAAAGAGATACAAAAAGTGGATCTATGGACAAGATAAACAAAAGTGTCTATGGCTTTTAGAATTGGAGTTGCACCTTTGGTCCAGGTGCATTTTCCATAGCTGCATTTTCCATATGGAGGGTGTTGAAAATATGTCTCATTCCTCCAGAGAAAGTACCCTTAGCAACAAAAATTCTGAAAAAAGATGCAGGGGCAGGGACTGAAGAAGAAGAAGAGATGAGTCAAATATTTAATGAGCAGCAAAAAATTAGTGAGAATAATGAGGGTGAATTAATGTACACACAACCTACAGCCCTGTTAAGACCCCCACCCTTTTATAGATGTCCTTCCTATAGAGAGGAAGACGGTCAGGAACATCAGAATAAACTAGAAAAGGAGACAAAAGTTCAGTATAAAGGACTATTGGAGGAGGTAATAAAAAGAGCTGAGGATAGGGGAACCTCCTTCACTAAAATAAAACAGGGCGCTCAAGAAACCTTTACGGATTTCTTAGCTTGCCTGACACAGCCCTTTCCACCTCCACCTCCACCAGACCCTTTTCCTGATAATATGTTTAAAAAGGCCTCTGCTCCAGTTCAGAGAGCCATCCTTGGAGCATTAAAATCTGAAGAAACAGTACCATCTGAGTTTCTTCAAGCTCTTCCTGTTCTTGAAATCCCTGATCCAGGAAATCCTGCTAATATAATAAGACAACATGAAATCTTAAATTTCAAAATACTAAAAGAACTTAAACAGGCGGCTTTGGCTTATGGCCCTACCGTTCCTTATGTCATGACCTTATTAGATAATATTGCAACTACTGTTCTTTGTCCTTTTGATTGGTGTACCATTGCTAAAATATGTCCAGAGAGGGGGAATTTTTTTGTTTTGAAAAATGAATTATTATGATAACTGTATGAGAAGCTAACTCCAGTTTTTTGATTTTCCCTGTCATAATTATGTATCTGTTCTGTGTTTGTCTGTGTGGTATGAATTAGTGTCCTGTGTGTAATTTGTCACCCTTTGTAGCCAGGTAGCAAAAATAGCATTCCAGTTTCCAAGACTGCAGCTGGACTCTGGAATGCCGCTTTCTTTCTCTCCCCCGCTCCCTCCCTGATTACAGCAGCCTCAGAGGAGCGGTGGATGGGAGAGAGCAAGAGAGAAAAATACTTTATTATTTAGGTTATATGATTGGTAAAAGGCAAGTTAAGAAGGATCCTTGAACTGTCAGGTCAAAATTAGAAAGAAATAAGATATGTGCAGTTTTAAAGAGAATTTAATCAAAGTCCATCAGAAGAAAAGGTAACAAAGTTTAAGCATATAGAAATGAAAGAAGTATAGGTAAAAAGAAAAAGCATAATCTATTTGCAAGAACAATGTGTACAGAGGGTTTGGTTTTGAAACTTTTGAAGAATTGTTGGGAAAAATAAATCTTCTCTCTCTCTCTCTCTCTCCAGAACCTTGTAAATCCCCTCTGATCAGCCACTTGATTCCCCCTCAGTCTGTGGGCCAGAAGCTCAGGAAAAAGCCGAGGCCCTGGGCCGCACTCCAGACTTGTGGCTGAGACCTAGCTCCTCTCTCACTGCAGTCACAGACTTTTCCCACTGACCTTCTTAGTTGTCTTTGCCATTCAGGGGTTGAGAAGTCTGGAAACTGCCACCGCTGCCCATGATTCAGTCCTCTGAGGCCTGCTCCAGGGTCACTGTGGCCTGTGCACCCATGCCGCACTGTGCTCCTCTCCCCTCCTGGCGCGATATACCTTTCTGATCAACCATCCAGGCTGTCTTGTGCTGGAAATTTGTTTCACTCTGTCTTTTTGTGGATTCTGATGCTTTAGAATTTGTTTAGAGCCATTTTTTTTAGGTATTTGGAGGGCTTTGGGAGAGAGCTCAAGACAGTCACTGCTTTCCCTCCGCCATCTTGGCTCCACCCCCGAGAGAGGGATTCTTGGTATCCATATTTGAACCTATTAAATTAAATTAAAAGAAGAAGAAGAATGGCAAATAGATCCAATAGTCTGGGCAAGAGAAGGAAATACCCTGAAGAAAGAAGGTGAAGTGGTGCAGGTGAGGCAA